AAACTCATTCTTGTGATGTAAATGTTAAACCTTTCATTTGAATGACATTCTGATAAAAAAAAACCCACCCCGTTCTCCTCCCCCCTTATTACTTCATGAATTTGTGAACAGTTAAAGGTAAAGCAGTTTAAACCAAGGGCCATCCTTCATTTTCTCTCTCCTTCCCCGTCCCCCCCACCTCTTAAAAAAATATGAAAGCTATTCAAATATTTGCGGGTTGTTTTTTTTAATTTTAGTCACCCAAGATTAGCGTGTTATCATGCTCAGCATCAAGATAAGTTCTCGGCGAATTCAAAGGCAGAGTTACCATTTGAAAAGGCTTGTACAAGCTTTGCTTTCTGGGTAGGCCGCTCTCTGAAAAGCTGAAATCTCATGTGCTGCCAAGTGAGTCTTGCTGAAGCTGTTTCGAGATTCAGCGCAGAGACAATTTGTCTCCCAGGGTCTAGTATCATGCAAAACCTCGCCAAACTGACATTTATTTTACCTATAAAAATGCTTAACGTTGCCTCAAGATTGGAGGAGGGGGGAGAAAGGAGAAAGATTTTCAAAAAAGAAACCAAGGAGAAGCTGTATGATTTATTTTCCCTTTATTGTGAATTTAAAAAGCCATTTTCTTTGTTTGCAAACTGCAAATTAAAAAAAAAATGCCACAAATGGCTCACTCTTAAAGGCTTTTAAAAATGTAAATAAAGTTTAATGTAAATCAAGTTGATGAGGAGGAGGAGGAGGAGGAAGATGAAGAATTGTTACAGTCAGATATTTGACTAATAGATGGTGTTCTGCAATTTGAGATTTAGCCATTATTATTATTATTATTATTATTATTATTATTATTATCCCATATTTAGAGCGTGGTTGGCCTTGGTGACCTTCATTTACTTCAATTAGCAAAGAATTATTATTAAAACGTATCAGTCTCAACGAATTTTCGTTATGTTAGGTAGGCTAACCAATTAATCCCATCAGTTTGTGGAAGTATCCACTGGCAGAGAGGTTTAACCCTAGTAATACAAAGCTAAAAAATGATTGAACTGAACAACAAACCTTTGAGGACACATTAAACGTTTGTGTGACGTAGTGAATTTCCCCTCATCAGAGCAAATAAAACAATTTTGACTTCGAGGTACACTTAATGAGTACAGCAGGTTGGTTTCAAGCCAATTAATTTCAGCTGAAACGATGCACATGCTAAAAGTGCCTTAACTGATTACTCAGGAGTCTTCTTCCACCTGGTTGAATGGATTGTGGCCATTTCCCACGCTCCTGTTATAGTAGCCTTTCAAGTGTGAACTGATACAGCAGGATTGCTTCACATTGTGTGGGGGAATAAATTATCACCTGTTTGCATTGTCCCTACTTTCTACCTGCTCACCCACACCCAGGAGACTTTTCCGTTCAGTCCCATCTGTTCTCTAGACAACCTGGCGAGGGTTGGGAAAAGCCTCGTCAGTTCCATCACTACCATCTCCCATCTTTTAGGAAAGTCTTAGATCTTGCCCAAGTGGTGGTATTCATACACGTGCCCTTAAAGTTGTGTATGTGTGTGAATGGATATTCTGAACATTTGAAAACCTTTGGGAGGTTTTGATTACCCATCAATTTTTTTCAAAAAATGGAGCGAAAGTAAGAGGACGAGGTGAAAGTTATGTCATGGACCAAACTTTGATGGTCGAAATATAAAATAATGATGATGATGATGTCCAAAGAGAGGCATGCATGGACCAAACTTTGATGGTAGAAATCTAAAATGATGATGATGATGATGATGATGTCCAAAGAGAGGCATAACGTTTCCCAGGACGACATGATAAGACCTGATTGTAGTGAGAGCATTTAAATTGTATTGCTCTATTTAGCTCTATTTCACACCCCAACAGCGAAGTCGAAATGGCACGTGAGGAATTAAGAATTTCAGTGGCTAGAAATGGTCCATATCTCAATGTTTGAAGATGCAGCTAAAAATAAGTGCTTATAGTAATGAGTGACCCCCGTCCCTGTTCCCTAATTTTAAGGACTGCAGTCTGGCTATACGTTTCTTTTTC